GAAAAAATAAATATTGACTAGTTAGCGAGGATTTCAGATGTCGGAAGATGCATATCAAGTACTCATAGCAAATAATAATTACATCTTCTTTAGAAACAAAGCCGCCTACTATGAGCCAAGAAGATTTCAATCTCTTGGATATATAAGAGTTAGGAGTTGTAGAGCTAATGTAAAGGCAAAAACTGCCTTCAACATATTGCATAAGAAGATCAAAGCTAAAGTGATAAAAGCTTCATCAAGCATGAAAGAAAAGCCATCTCCAATGAATAACGTATATCTAATGAGAAGACATTTTAATCTCAAGATGAGATAAGCCATTTCTATAGGAGAGCATATCAACCTGTTCAATATGATCAAAAGTCAATTGACTATGGTAAATATCAACTTCGATGATGAACTTTATGCATTCAAATAGTTATCATCACTTTAAGAAAGTTGGGTTGTGATGATAATCAGTAATTCATGTAGGTTTACAAAGCTAAAACATAATGATAACTGTGACCTAAGATTAAGTGAGGACATCAGGAGATGAGATTCAAATAAAAACTATTCTTTTAGCACTTATATAAAACTCAAAGGGAAAACTAAATAGAAAATAACAGAGGTAGGAGAAGTTAATCCGCCCCATCGCCGTCGCCCTTCACCGACTACCGACCATCCCAGTCACAACCTTCTTACAATTTACATAGAATTCACTTCAAATCAAACATAAAAAAGTAAAGACCTGCATTTCTTTTGCACTCATCCAAATGACACCAAAGTATTCCTTTTAGATTGTATTCCTTTTACACTACATTCAATTTTCAGGCAACAAAACAATTCCTTAAAGTAAAAGGAGTGTAAAGTATTCCAAATACAAGGATTTTGAAAATATTAGTGTTTTCTTTGAAGTAAAAGAAATACATAATAAATTTTTTGAAGTATTTGATACTCACCCTCTAGTTTAATTTTGGTGTATTTAGAAATCATTATATTTGGTCAATTTAAAACACAAAAAATTCTCTACCATTGTCACTACAACCCAATGCCGCCAACCACCAATCGTCGATCGCCATCCAACACTGCCACCACTGTTTTCCATTCGACATCGGTTGGCGCAACCACCTCCACCATCGACTACTAGCCATCATCATTATTGGGCTTTACATAACATTTTAAGTCAAAAAAAAAGAAATCAACTGCATTTATTTTAACACTCATATAAATAATTCATAACACTTCAAACAAATTACATTCCTTTTATAATGATTTTTATTTTGCTATGCATTCCTTTTCCAACAAATCAAATCACCCCTAAGTCATAAACTTGAAACAAAATCACCAACAACAACAACACCATCAAGCCTTTATCCCACTATGTGGGGTCAGCCACATGAATTCTTTTTTCTCTATTGTGTCATATTAAAAATCAAATTCTCATTTAAATCTAATTAAAAAAAAGTTATTTCTAATATTTTCTAACCAAGCTTTTTAGGTTTACATCTATTTTTCTTAATGTTTGTCAAATCTAATAAATCTACTCTCCTAACCTGGTCATCAAGAGGCCGATATTTTATGTGTCCAAAGACTCTCGCTAATATTATCTATCATTGGGTTACTCCAACCTTTTCATGGATACCCTTATTTCGCATTCTGTCTCTAAGAGTGAAGCCACTCATCCACCGATCATCCTCATCTCTAAAACAATAAATTTTATGTTTCTCTTTTAATGTCAAACATTTTGCACCAAAAAGCATTGTAGGGGGTGCAGAATGTTGTCTATTAGAAGAGACCCAAATCATTCCTCCACTTTAACCCCCCAACTTGAACAATAAACCCAAGGAATCTAAAACATGCACTCATATTAATGTCTTGATCGCCCAAAGTCACAATCCCCCCACTAAATCTATTATTACTAAAATTACACTCCATGTATTCGGTTTTAGATCTCCTCAAATGAAAACCTTTAGACTCTAAGGTTGATCTTCGTAATTTAATTTTTCCTTCAACTCTCTCTAGTCTCATTAACAAGAAGATTATCATCAGCAAAAAGCATACATCAAGGTGCATACTCTTACAAATGTCTAGTAAGAACATCCCTTACTAAAGCAAAAAGATGTGGGCTTAAAGCTAATGATAATTTTTGTCTTCAACAAAACAGATTTATGTCGTCACAAATGTTTCAATCTCTCAAGCATTAAATCAACACTGTGTACAAAACATGAAGTCGAATGAAGGTGCTTCATTTTTCCTTTAGTAAACTCCCCGCAGCTATGTAGGCACTTGTGTTACCTATAATAACTTGAACCACATGTCTCTCCGGCTTTCTTAACAACCTCATCCAACATTTGAAAAAACAGTTACGCATCTTTCACAAAAGCTAAAATATCAACATATTTCAAAAGTACATATCCATAAAAAAAGTTGTGGGATCCAGAAATTTGTGCCCCAGGCTCTTTGCGGACCTCCCTTTCTTTCTTCTTCATTTTGGATCGTCGAGGAGAGTTTTAACGAATAAGTTCCAAGGCAAATTTTCAGAAAGCATATTGGATTTAAAACAAGACACTATCCCATGGTTCATCATCCTGGGCCATCGTGGTCCATGGTCTATTTAGGCAAAGGAGATAGTCGACCCAACTTAACAAAATGATCGTTATCGACAGCCATGGATTGCTTCGTCCAAAGGTACCTTATAGGCATAGGGTGGATATTTATCTAAGAAAACAAATTTGAATCCACCGCAGCAAACCGAGAGCTTTGTGCCTTGTCAATTATATCTTGTTGATTCATAGCACAATGATTTGAAGCCGTTATGAAACATACGAGCTCTGACCATGATCGTAATTTAGTGATGTCATTTGATGGCAAAACCAACTGATTTAGAGGATCCCAGTCATAGGGAGAATTGGTTCGCCGATTGAGGGCTTCGATCAATTGGGAATCGGCCTTGAGGATCGGTAATAGGGAGAATCGGAGGGGGAAATCAACTTGAAGATGCATGTGAGACTTGCGGGATTGGGACGTGAGAGCTGCGTGGGACCAAGAGTAGGACGACGAGATGGCTTCGGGAGTTCTACAGAGGTTTCAGGAGCGGGAGGCGGATTGGTTGTGAGAGGAAGAATATAACAAACAAGAATTTCATTCCATTCTCTTTTTGAAAACAAGGCAGGTCGCTGGGGTCGTACAGAGATCATCATTTCAAGCACAACTAGAATGGCATCGACGTGCGTTGTGGAGAGCTTGACATGCTGAGGGCTTCATCAGACATTCAGACAGGTACATGAGCATGATTTTTTCCCTTTTTATTTATAGGTCAGCATGATAACAAGAAAGTTAATGATGCTTTTCTATCGAATATTTGACTAGTTATTTGACATTATGGTCACTCCATGTATCAAACTATATTTTTTCACTCCATCCACCATCTCTGTCGTTGTGCTAACCTCCTCATCTAACATCGCTGCGAGCTATTGTCAAAATGTCATTTTCAGAACTCTACTTCACACAAAGTAGGCGAAGCCAAAGCAGCACACGAAAGGGAAGAATTCGTTGCGTGCTCCTGTATGATTCAACTTTCGAGCATTGGAGCTTCTCTTTGAAAATTCTACTTCACATGAAGTTGCCGAAACCAAAGCAACTACAAAGCCCTAAAATTATACACGCAACCAATCAGTCGCGAGTAATTATAAAGAAGAAGACTCAAAATAAAATGAGATGGCGCCTCAAACTATCTTGAGGCATAAATCTCATGCAAAAAATCAAAAGGCTCGCTCGAACCATTGTGGCTTCACCTTGAGGTGCACGCCTTGAATGCTTTTTTAAATGATGACTCATAATGATCATGATACATTTTGATTTAATGGTTAGAGTTTCATAAAGACTCTAAAGTTAAGCATGCTCATATTGTGAAATGGGTGATTGCTAGGGAAGTTACTCTAGGAAAGCAAATTTTGAGGTATGTTGACCAAAGCAAGCAATATCTCAATAGATGAGAGTTCAAGTTATGGCCACTAGCAGAGGCTCACTAGCATCAGAGATGACAACAAACTACTTAATGGTGACATGAAAGTCACAAGAAGTGTGAATATGACAAAGTTAAATGCAGTATAGGGCTAGGCACCAAAATAAGAAGAGCATCAGTCGATATTAGGTCCAGACGTCCAGTGATGAGTGATTGACAATAACTCCTAATTAGCACTTAATGTCACGAGTTGGATCTCTACATATGGTGGTAAATTTAGAAGGCTCCTTTTACCTGCACTGATGTAGAGCCTCATAGATGATGCCTAGATCAAGCATTACTATAGTTAATCGTTGGGGAATATATACGGGAGCCTCATTGAGGATTGCAACAGATACATAAATAAGTATACCAACCATCTTGAAAAGAATAGTTATCTTGTAGAATGGAATGGAATTGCAGTGGTGATGGCTCATTCACTAAAGGCAAAAACAACTTTTTAAGGATCTCACCATGCTTTCCATGAGAGGCATCTGAGAAGCCAATTGAAGCTGGAACGATCCAATATTTTTTTTATGAAAGGGGAGAACAAGATGTCAATCTCCAACCGGTAAAAAAGGAAAGCAAGGGAGCATTGCAACCTATGAAGTGGCAAGGCCAGAAAAATCCATTTTTTTCTTCATGTTTTGCAAGATATATTATAAAAAATATTTAGAAATTTCAATAAACAAGTGAAATTCATTTAAATGGCTGCCAACACTGGCTAATTGATCTAGGTGAAAAAGAAAGCTCTATGTTTACTTCATCGACCAAATTTTACTTAATAACCAATGTTTAGGGTTTAGAAAATGTCAACAACTCAATAATTAAATCCTTAAAAATCTAAGACAAACGATTTGTTCGGTCATTTAACTGGCGTAAAGCAAAGAAGTTTGTAGCATGATGCAAATAAGTGTCTTCTAATCTCGAAGTTTCAAATTGTTTTATAATAGAAAAGAAAGCAAATCACTGACAGGAAATATCATGGATAAAAAAATGCAGTTAGGAAAACATATCACACCATGTAGTACTTCATCTAAGCTTCCACCAGCTAGATAGTCATATAACAACAACTTTGACGAGGGTGAATTGCAATAACCCCGTAGATTGACTAAATAACGATGTTTAATGCTGCCCAAAATTTCAAGCTCACTGTCAAAGAAACGGTCTAAAGAAACATTTGTCTTCATTATCCTTTTCAACGCAAAAACATTGCCATCGTCCATAGCCAGCTTGTATACAGTAGCAAATCCACCAGAACCAATAATATTTTCTTCAGTAAGTGCTTCAAGTTTCTTAAGCATTTCCTTTGATGAGTAGGGTAAGTCCCCATGAAACATTACTACATTTGCGCCTGAAAATGATGAAAAATAATATATTAAATAATAGAAAATTTTATGTCTAAATGTTAAGAGGATGATAAAAATTGAAAAAGGAAGCAAATGTATCATTGTATGAACACAAAATTGATACCTCCAGTAACATCCATTGCCAGACTTCTGACATCTTCTTTGCCAAATTTCTTGTAAAGGTAGCATCCCCAGAAACACATCAGAGCCACTAACAACAAAGCACCAACTGTCGCTACTGCACTTATGACAAGCTTCGTAGAATCGCTTTTTTTGTTTTGCTGGTAACCTGCCAGTAAAATTTCACTATGTACAAGCTCTGCTGAAAGTGGCAAGAAATAAATGTATATCTAAAAGAAAATTGTTATTTTGTGATGAAAGAAAGCCAGAATACGACACCCGAAAAGAAAAGAAACATGGCTGTAGAACTTCCAAATTATGCAAATGAATATAAAGCAAATTTTGGAAACCTATCATTAGAGTCCCCCAGTTGTGGCATATAATTAAAATAGAGCAGCCCTCTAACACCCTTGATCAAAAAATAAACTTCGTTGAATGTAAAAGAATTCTATAAACTCAAAATAATGTCATGACAGGCATAAGAGAACACAGACCAAACATAACAAAATTATGTCAAGATAGAGAATATAAGAATTGAAACACTTACTAAATATACAACATACAGAATATCAGTATAATAAGGACAACACAAGACAATGAATTAGAAAAACAAGTAAAAGCTTTGCATATTGTTAAGTTATTGAGCAAATTCAATTCTCATTTGCAGAAGCTAAAATTATTGCCAATTTATGCGAGTGACTTCATATAATAACGTAGTATTCTATGTCATTTCTACTAATTAAATTAATAACAGGGAACCACCTAGAAATTCTTGCAAAAGCATGCTTCCTTGTCCAAGGTACAGTAATGCCATCAACAACAAGGCAACAGCTTTAACAAAATTCTGCTAGGATACCATTTTAATACTACGGAAGAGAGCAAAGAAAGATGATTCCAGAAATTGAAAATTCACTTTCTTCTAAATTTTTTTTAAGGAAAAAAAATGGCAAAGTAAATAATGATCTATTGCTACTCAACCCAATTAATAGACCATCGTGGAAATATAATTGATTTGTGTGGGGAATCTACCTCAGAAATAATTAAAGAAAAATCAAAGTTCAATTCCACTTTAGTGGGCGTTCCTTAATCTTAAGTATTATTGGGACCATAAAATTGTCATCTAATCAAGCTCAAACTTTGATGTGAATTCTAGATCTTAAATCATTCAAAATATGAACCAACAACTATGTAAAATTATTTCAAGGATCAAATGAACTTCAAATTTTATATATTTATGATAAAAATAACCATCTCACTACAGTAATTCTAACATCAAAAATATCACAATGGGTGCAAATTTTGGCCTTAAATCATTAAATTAAGGCCCTGTGATCATTCGATTGACCTTCCCTCATTCCCCTCCCCTCTTTTTCTTTGAGTGTACACACACAAAGGCATGCCCCATGATGATGGAGATCGCTCACCATTGCTGCCACACTAATGATAGGTAAGCTGGGGTGAGATGGTTGGGTGGGTACCAACCCCAGGACTGCAAGAATCACCAAGATAGTGATAACCTATAATGACCATTTTCTCAAGGAGACATTTTAACACAATAACGATAACCTATAATCACCATTTTCTGACAGCCCTAAATTTGATCCACGAATATTCTCGCATTTGTTCCAAACAATTCCAAACAATCCGACGGTCCAAATTTTGATCCATTAACTCCATTGCATTCTTAGAGTCGAGCTAAAAAATGGTGATACCATTACCAATCACAAGCATTGCTGGTTGTAAGCACATCGACCAACCAACCGTCCAATGTTGACATAAGAATGAGGTCATTTGGTCACCATCCCAATCAAGGAAGAGCATAATTTAGACAATCCAATGCTAGTGTAGATTTAAAATATTATTCTAAAAAGAATAATATGCCCCTTCCAAAATCTATAAATAAGGGTTAATTCAATGCATTTAGAATATTTGAAACCAAGCCAAATCCTTGCATGATAAAGAATTCCATGGCTTTGAACCCAACCTAAATTGTCAAGCTTTCTATGGCGTGTCCCCCAATCCATCATATTTCATAGTCCTAAAGTCAACCCCTCCTATCGAAGGACTAGCTTGACCATTTCTATGCACCCACCACTCAAGATCACCCTATCCCCTCTCCTCCCAAGAGAGTCACAATCCTGATCACTTTAAAATAACCATCAACATCAAGTTATTTGAACTACACCCCTTCTTCTTCAAGGCAAGGGACTGTCCCAACTATCATGAAACACGCACACTAAGGCCTCCAGATGACTTTACCACCATTGAAAGAGAAATTCATCAAAGTTTAGGACTATTTCAATGTACTAACACCTCTGATTCAAGGAAGGGTGGCCCATTATAATCCAAGACTAAAACTAGTGGAGATTATTGCAACTAGATATGTAGCATGATAGTTTTCCATTTGGGTTTCCAAGAAAAAAAGTTTTTTTTTTTTTTTTTTCTTTTGTGGATTACATTCTTACATTATTTATTGAGTGTAAAATATCATTTGAAAATAACGAAATTAATTGCATCACTCTATACTCTATAGTTAAGATATTCTTGTAAAGCAATAGTATGGCATAAAAAAACATCTAACCACTTTTTAATTGAATGAGCATATACAACCATTCAAGTGTAAGAACGTTCTCACCTCATAATAGTGAACAAGTTAACACATAAAACCTCCGGCCATATAGTTCCAAATAGCACAAGTCGAGAAATCCTTCCTTGAATTAAAGACATTATATCCATAATCCACCCCCCCCCCCCCGTGCGGCGCAAAACCCAAAATCCCAACATCAAAAACACCACTAACGAGCCACCATGCATACATAAAGTGCCATTGATGTGATCATCTGCCCGATTTTACCATCAACTTTTATGGGCGCCCAAACAGTATATTACTCTCTCCCATGAATTTGCAAATGACTTAATTGAGCTACATAAGTGATGTAGGATAAGTAAGGTTTTAAAGGCCCAATAGCATAACATTTTTATTTTTTTAAAAGAAACAAAGAAGCAATTATGTGAGGTTTGGAGTTAATGATTTAAATGCAAGAAAATATATCTTAAAACCTTATACATCAACCCAATTTCAGAATTTAAGAGAAGCAATCAATATTTAATTGAATCCTTTAAATTGGAGTGGCATGTATATTTTTTTCAAGAAAATTCTTGGAAGATCTTCAGAAAGGTAGAGAGGCGAGAATTATTCGTCTCAAGGCTCATACATCAAAAAGAATGTGAACAAGTATTGTATGTCAGCTTGCAAATATATTTCTACACCTTTCGCACAACATTTTAAGTTGAGCAAGAATCAAAACATCAAGAGATAGTGAAAGATCATATATGAAGAAGATTCACTATTAAAATATTGCAAGTAGTGTCATGCATTCTATGATTTTTATGAATCACATTTGACATATTCATTCAACATCTACGAAGATTCCTTCCTGATCTAGGGAGACAACATTGGGAAGCTGCAAAATGGGTGCTAAGGTACTTAAATGGAACCATGACCATTGGTTTGATGTATGAAAATTTTGATTCTCTTGATGATGTTATCATTGGATATGTACATTCAGATTTTGTAGGTTGTTATGACACTCAATGATCCCCAAGTGGTTATGTATTTAAGGTGTTCGGAAAACAGAGTCAGTTGAAAGATAAATTTGTGACCAATTGTTGCCATGCCTACAGCTAAAGCTAAATACATTATTGTATTGAAGCCATAAAAGATGTATCCTTGAAAGGGATGATTTCTGAATGATTTCAACCAACAATTTCTCTTATTGCTTGTGTTTTGTGATCGTCAAAATATAGCTCTCCAAGAATCCTAAGCATCATGAAAGAACTAAACATACAGATGTGAATTTTCACTTAAATTAACAAGCCAGTTGCTACTGGTATTATAAAGATTGTAAAGATTCCAGCATATGAGAATGCATAAGATATGTTGACAAAACTGTAAAACCAAAAAATGCTGTTTTAGACCTCACACGCTTTTCAAAGCGCTGCGACGAGTTTTAAGTGAAAAATTCAAGGTTGTCGGATTTCGACGGGAATAATTTTATAAAATTCTACGAAAAATTCTAAGAAATTTGATATATAAAACTTATATTTAATTTTGCATAATTTAGGAAATAAAAATTAGAGATGTTCGTATTACCCAAAGTACCCCTAAGCATTGTTAAGACTTGGAGAGTTTAAGTGAGGGCATTTTTGTCCTTTGGCCATCTAATGGAATTAAAGGGGACCGAATTCATTCGGTCCCCCATTACATCCATTCGGCCGAACCGACCGAAACCGAAGAAGCACACGCAAAGGGAGAGGGCGGACGCACGCAAGGCTTAGGGCGGCGGCTCCGACGACTTCTCTGGCAAGGTTCTTGGAAGAAAATTGTAAGGCAAAGCCTAAGGAACACTAAGGTGCATTTCTAAACCTATAAACCATTATGTTTACCATAGATTTTTAAGATGAAGAATTTTGCGTTTTCTGGAATCGTGAAAATTTCTTTAAGAAATTAAGAGGGAAGATCTAGAAAACGATTTTATACATTAGAATGTGTTTTTCTCCAAAAATTTTTAGGGTTTCTAAAATTAGGGTTTTTCCCAAATGTTGATATTTTTGGAAATCTCTTAACAAAGTTTATTCATAAGAGTTATAGAAATATTCTAATGGTGAGATTTTGAGATTTTTCTCAAAATATTATTTTTTCTAATTTCTAATTAATATAAATCCGAAAATATAAATTAATTTAAATTAAGTTAGGTTTAGGGTAAAGGGTTAATTACATTAAAATAAGACAAAATTTTGAATTTTAGAATATATGCATGCTTTATGTGATCTTTTGGAGAGAGGGAAAGAGAAGATTTTATTGTAAATTTATTTTGAAGATTTTGAAAGTGAAATTGATTCTTATAGGTGTTTAGTGGTGACCTCGAAGAAAGGAGAACTAGTGTGAAAAATCAAATCCCTCGAATATGTAAGTATGCATGTTTCTTTATTTATAGTAATGAATTTTGTTTCTCTCTAGTTATATGATTTAATAGATCAACCATGTTTAGAAAATATTCACTTTTGTTCAATGTTGATCATGAAATTTATATGATACATCTTGTGACATTATTATGCAAAATTAATGTATTATAGAGATGAGATGAAATGCAATGATATGATATGAAT